GATTTCTAATTTTCTGGGACACAGCACACCTGGTTACGAGTGCAGTCCGACACCATTTCGTATTTTTATTGGTCACTTGAGGTTTCTCTTCTGTGAATTGCTTGCTTGTATTTATGACAATTTTTCTTTTGGGTTACATGTCTAGTCTTTTTGATTTGTAGGAGTTCTTTGTATAATTTTTAATTTATAAATTATTTTATATATTTATTTTTAATAGCAATACACATGTATGTACAAAATTCAAAAAGAGGGAATACAGAGTACAGCAAATTTTCTTTGCCACCACTCCATTCTACTCCTAATATGTAACTGTTACCAATTTCTTCTTATCCTCCAAGATATTCTATGCACACATGAACATTTGGCTGATCATATATGTATGTGTGTGTGTTGTAGGCTGTATATTTTTACATCAATGATAGTATAGTATACGCAGTATCCTAAACACTTTTTTTTCCCTTAACAATGTATCTTGCAGATCATTTTTCCAATGTCTTTTTTTTTTTTTGTCAGTTATGTGCATTATAGTTTGTGACTGTTGTGCAGAGATTTTGTTTTTAATGTAGACCAAGGTGTCAATCTTTTCCTTGATGGCTTGTACTTTTCTTTTTAATCTTGCCTAAGTCAAACGTGATGACAATGATTTGGGATACCTTCATTAAGGTAGAGCTTGGGTCTCCCCGGTCATCTGTTGGCACATCACCCTTTCACTCAGATCTTCCTGGAGTGTAAAAGCTGGAGAAAAGAGAGGTGAGTGGAGGGTGGGTGGAAAGCAGACCCTCTGGACAGCAGACCGCAGGGAAGTGATGGGCGAATTCAAATAACAGTATCCCTAGCATCACCATATGGGAAAGGGTGACATGCCCTCCCTGACTCAGGAATGGCTCCTCGAAGTCAGCAAAGTCTCATTAGGACAGTAGGGTCTTGCCCCATGTGTAGGTTCAAATGACTAAAATAACCTGGAGTCCACTCTCCAGAAAAGCTGTTCCAGTTCCATCTACTTGAGTATCCTGAGGTCACTGCATGGAGGGCTTCTTTGGTTTTACAAAAGTAACTCATGTCTTATATGCAAAATTCATTATTACAGAAATACATAGCATAGTCAGTGCAGGTCACCTGTAGTCCTGCCCCAAAGACAACCTCAGTTAACAATAAGGCACGTATACTTCTATTCAAACACAGACACTTATTCCTATATTTATTATTTATTTCTCATACGATCTTAACATAAATACTCTTTTGAAACTTGCTTTTTTTCAGTTAACATGTCAGAGCCATCTTTCCATGTCAATACACAGAGATAGATCTGTTTAAAAAAAATAAGATGAGAATTTATTCATTTAGTTAAATTATTATTATATAAGTGGTATGTGGATACATTCTCTGTGTAGAGTCAACAGTATATGATTGTAAGGGGAAACTGACATTCCTCCCTTGGTTCCTCACTCCTCTTCCCAGAGGGAATGATCAGTTCCACTCCTTTATCTTTGCATTTACACACACGCATTTGCTTCAGTTAACCATCTGCCTTGAACATGTCAGTACAGAACAGATATCACTTATACATTTTTACTGGCTTTATAGATTACCTGAGTGCGATATATCATCATTCAGTGGTGGGCCTGAGATTCAGTTGGGGAACTTGTTAGAAACATGAGTTGCCAAGGCCCCCCCAGCAGACTTTCTGAGTGGCATTGTGGGGTAGGCCCGGGCCAGCACACCAAGCTGCAGGCCATTCTCATGTGCCCCCAAGTTGGGAACCAAGCCATTACTTCTACTATTGTTTGTATAAACGCTCTTATACGTATCTTTGAACATTTGAGAGTTTTGTAGGATAAAGATGGGTCAAATGGGATTAACTGCATTAGTTTTTAATAATATAGCCAAATTGAGCTCCAAAAATGCTATACCCTCCTCCCCACCAACAGTGCCCAAGAGTTCTGTCTGTCCCCTCCCCACTACCTACCTCAAACACTGCATAAGATTCATGTTGTTTTTGCCACTTTGATATATAAAAAAGATATTTTATTGTTTTAATTATTTATGAGTGAAGCTGAGCAAGGTGCAATGAATACCTTTTTTGTAAATAAACTTAATTTTGGAATTATTTTAGATTTACAGAAACATTGCAAAGATTACTACAGAGAGTTGCCATCTATTAGACTTACAGAAATGTTGCAAAGATAGTACAGAGTCTAATGATTAGACAGTGTTATGGGCTTTTTCGGAAAATGTAAGTGAAGTGCCCCTCTCCTCATATCATTTCCTCATGTCATAGGAGGTGATACGTGATACCACATGATACCTTCAAAAAAAGAAAAAGAAATCTATTTATTATGGAAAATTTCAAACACACATAAAAATAGTTAGAATAACATCAACGTTATCAACTTTTTGCCACTTTGTTTCTGGTGGCTTTCAATATGTTTGGGAGTTGAGTTTTCATCTTTATTTTCTTCCCTTTCTTTTTTGAAAACATACACACGCGCGCGCACACACACACACGCACACACAGAAAACCCTAATTAGCAGTGTTTGGAATCTAGATGAGACCTAGATGGAAGAGCATAAATACCTAGTAAAACTGCTCCCAGTGCTGGAATCCCTTCTAAAGGTATATCCCAATTTTTAGGTTGTAAGTGAAAGGAACCCAACTCAAACCATCTTAAGCAAAAGATGGAATTCATTGACTCAAAAACTTAAAAGCTATAGGGTATGCCTAGGTCTGTGGGCTCAAGTGGTGTCAGTTTCCTTGCTGTTTCTCAGGTTGTATTTCCTGTTGCCTTCACTTTATGATAGAGCCCTGGTGGTGTAGTGGTTAAGAGCTTAGCTGCCAACCAAAAGGTCAGCAGTTTGAATCTACCAGCTGCTCCTTGGAAACTCTATGGGGCACTTCTACTCTGTCCTTTAGGGTTGCTATGAGTCAACCGCAATGGGTTTACTTATTACCAGCCTATCTTCTCCGTCTCAGTCATTTCAGCGCAAATCACAGGAGTCAGTTTCATTGGTTGGACCTGGATCACAGCCCCTCCCTGAACTAATCACTGTGCCAAGAAAATATAATTACTGATTGGTCAGGTCTGGGTCACATGCTGTGAGCCTGGGTAGCTCATTCCGTACAGAACCAGACTTTTAATATGAGGGTCCAGGTTCAAGTCCCTGTTCAGCGAACTACCACTTTAGAGTCCTGGTGGTGCAGTGGTTAAGAGCTCAGCTGCTAACCAAAAGGCTGGCAGTTTGAATCCACCAGCTGCTCCTTGGAAACCCTATAGGGCAGTTCTACTCTGTCCTATAGGGTCACCATGAGTTGCAATAAACTCCACGACAATTTTTTTTTTTTTTTTTGGTTGGGGGTGGGTGGCGTTTAGGTCGTATGCCAGCCCTGGGACAAGGAATTAAGTGACAATTTAATTCAGACCACATGGGCTGAGTAGAGGAAAGGTGCTTTCCTTAGTATTTGGGTTGGTATTATAAAAAGACTAGCGGTGTGGATCTCTGATTGGTAACTTGCTCATGTCTTTCTCTTCCAGCCTTTCCTTCCCTTCTCCCCACCCCTGCAGATTGGATCACTCTCTCCTTTGTCCTCCACTGTTACTCCATCATATTTCTTTTAATGCACCTGAATCCCTTTCTCTGTATCCAATGGTGTGCCAAGTTGGGGGTGAATGGGGAAGGAGTTGATGTAGTCTGCCTCAGATGCAGTCTGCGGAGAACTTTAAAAATGTGGTCTGCTTTTTATCATCACCACACAGCTGGCAATCCTAAACAAGGTCAGTGATAAAATATTCTTCCTTGAAAAAGTTCTCTCTCCCTCTGTTGGGTAATTACAGGTAGTCCCCAACTTACAACAGGGTTTCGCTTCAGTTCAGACCTAAGTTGGACCTCTCTCTTTTTTTTTTTTAGTTTTATTATTGCCTTTTGTTATGAGTATCTTTATAAATCATAACACTGAACATCTGTGAGTGAACATCTGGTAACATCAGCAAATTACCCGCTGCAACATTGTATGTGGGGGAAAAAAAAAACAAACAAACCAAACCCATTGCACAGCGACCCTATAGGACAGAGTAGAACTGGCCCCGTAGGGTTTCCAAGGATCGACTGGTGGATTCGAACCGCCTTTCAGCAGGCAGCTCTTAACCACTGCACCACCAAGGCTCCAACACTGTTGGTTCATAAAAAAGCAAAACAAACAAAAAAATCACCAAAAACAAGAGGTTGGTTGTAAGCGCGGTTTGTTGTTAACTGTTGGTAAGTTGGAGACTACTTGTACTTATCTCCAGGAAGTGAGCTGTTTCTGGCCTATGTGTCACCGCCATCAAGCAGCAGCGACAGAATTTGAAGCTTGAGCCTTGTGCTCAAAGTGCGTCCTAAAAGCACGGGGTCTGTAGTCTGCCAGATGTATGAATCCTGGTTCTGCCACTTAGGAGCCCATTTACCCCTCTGAGCCACAGTTTCCTCATTTGTAAAATGTAGATGACAGTATTTTCTACCTCATCACAGTATCACCGAGATGATTCTGCGGCAGGCAATGTACTTAGCGCAAAGCCTCCAAACGGTGATGTTAATAACCCATGAGTGTTTTATCTACGTTCTACGGATAAGAAAGCCGAGGCTCAGAGATGCCAAGCGCTTTGCTAGGGTCACGACTGAGCGGCCACGAGTCTCCAGGGACTTCCAGCCAGCACGAACATCCCCCGTCCAGTCACGTCCTTCCTGTTCCGGCCCGGCACGAGTAGTCCTGGCTCGCAGCAGCCGCAACTCCTCCCGCCTTCCTCAGATCCGGCGCCCAGGCCGAAGCTTCCCTTCCGGTTCCCAAGACCGCGCTCCGGAAGTCTCTATGCCAGCACCTAAGATGGCTGCCCGACCCTTCCGCTGCAGTTGTCAACGTAGGGGAAGTGGGCACAAACCCGGAAGTTGCCCGGCTCCGCCATGGCAGCCTCTCGGGGGCGTGGCTTCCGGCGTCCAAAGGCTGCGAGTTGAGGCCGTCGGGTCAAGCGGAGGCGGCAGCTGACAGGCGCTCCTCCCCAGATAGCTGCGGCTGCTGCCGAGCGAGACCCGGCGGCCGCTAGCTCGCGTCGCGGCGTCCGGAGCCCGCGAGGCGCTAGAGCCGCGCCGGGGGATGGACGAGGGGAAGATGGACGAGAATGAATGGAAGTACCACGGCGAAGGCAACAAGAGCTTGGTAGTGGCCCACAAGCAGGTGAGACTGCGAACGGTCAGCGCGATTCAGGGGCCCCTCACCAGGACGGCCCCGGATCCGCGGGGCACTTTTCCGGCTGGCTTCTCGTCCCCTCAGTACCTCCCCCGGGCTGGTCCCCTGTCCCCTCAGTACCCATTTCCAGGGTCGGTTCCGCGTCCCCTCAGCTTCCCCTCCCCACCAGGGTTGGGTTCGGCGTACCTCCAGCATCACCCTACCCCCACCCCGCCCGCCCAGGTCAGTGCCTCGTCCCTAGTAATCCCTCCCTCCCCCTGGTCAGTTCCGCGTTCCCCCAGTGTCACCTCTCCTGGGTCGGTTCTGCGTCTCCCCCTTCGTTGCTGGGTCGATTCTGCGTCCTCCCAACATCACTCCTCAGTCGTTGTTGCGGCCCCGCAGCAGCCCGCTCCGAGCCTCCCGCCCTGTCTATGCAGCGCGCGGCCTCACGCGGTGTCGCCTCGCGCCAGGCCAGCCGGACTGCGGAGCTGCAGTGGGGAGAGGCTGAGCCGGGATGGAGGGCTGGGGGAGATAGTGGCGGAAGAACCCAAGTGCCCAGGCTGTTTCCTCCCCAGCACCGAGGGAGATCAGGCTGGTGAGACACTCGGAATTGCAGTACTTGCTGTTGCTTGATAAAAATAATAGTAATGGAGCATTGCCCACAGTTTCTCCTCCAGAGTCTTCTGAAACCTTCCAGTTGAGCCGATCTTCTGGCCTTTCTTAATTTAATGTGGGCCAGAGCTTCAGAAACTGCATCCCCTGATTTTAGCGATAAGGACTCCCAAGGAGGTGAATTGAGGAAGAGAAGCTTATGGGTTTGTGTGAGGGCCCAGATATTTTTGACATCGCTTGTTCTGATACAACCATGCAGAATGTGACCGGCTGTGGGAGGTGAATACGTGTCATGGAGAGGTTAAGGGCAAGCGATTTGGAGTCAAGAAACCCTATGGGACAGTTTACGCTGTCTTACAGGGTCACTATGAATCGGAATCGACTCGACGGCAATGGATTATGAGTTAGAATCTACTGGACAGCAACTGGTATGGTAGGTAGAGCTAGGTGGAGAAGTTCTTGGGTAGTGCAAATGATTAAGCTGCCCCACTATTAACTGAAAGGTTGGCGGCTGGAACCTACCCAAAGGCTCCTCAGAAGACAGGCCTGGCAATCTGCTTCTGGAAGGTCACAGCCTTGAAAACCCTGTGGAGCACAGCTACTCTGCACAGATGAGGTCAGTTTCGCCATGAATTGGAATCATTGGAAGGCAATTAACAACAACAGAGCTGGGCGGAATCCAGTTCTACCACTACCTGGCTGAGGTGCAGTTTCTGCATTTGTAAAGTAGGACTAGTGATGGAACCTTCTTGGTTGAATGGCTGGAAAGATTAGTTGAGCATGGAGCTGACTAGTTAAGGCCCAGTGAGTGATAACTGTTATTCCCCTTGGACCGATGAAGAAAACAGAGCTTGGAGAAGTCAAGAGCTCTGACCCAGGCAAACAGTTTGTAAGAGATGGTGCAGCTCCTGGATTGCACTTTCCCCTCTAGTCCTGCCTGGCCTCTGTTGTGACTGTGTGCTGGTGGTGTTGGGCGGGCTGCGGTGTAGCTGCTATTATTCAGGCAGCCCTTTGGGTTCTGCCTTTGCATTTTGGTACTCCTTAGCACAGTTGGGAAACTAAAGAACTGGAAGTACATGCTTTGCTCAAGATCCTTAGTTGAATTAGTAATGAACATGGATTAACCCAAAGCTGCCCTTCTCTGTATAGTCTGCTGGTTCCTACTGTTTTTCAAGGTTGAGTACTATTCCAGTACGAGTCCCTTTTGTGGTCAGCTTACTGCAGTGATTCCTGAATCCTTTCACAAAACACTCATCTTCAGATTTCTTAATAAGACTGGATGGAGTATCTCTGTATTTTCTATAAAACTAAGGCTTCTTTTAAGCGGGGGGCAGGGCACTAAATGGGGCTCTGGTGGCACAGTGGTTAAGCATTTCGTTGCTAACCAAAAGGTAGGTGGTTCGAATCTACCAGCCACTCCTTGGAAACCCTATGGGGCAGTTCTGCTCTGTCCTAAAAGGTCACTATGCTTTGGAATTGATGCAACGGCAACAAGTTTGGGTTTTATTTAATGTACTAAATTTCAAGAGTAGTTACAGATGACGGAGAAAATTCCAGACTCAGAGTAAAAAGACACCCAGGATTGGAAAAGTAGAGGTTGTTAGTGCAGCCACCCCTGGCACTGGGATCCCTTCTCCCATCCTTGGTGAGTGTGTGTCCAACCTGCCCTCTGTACAGGCATCTCCAGGACAGCCCAGCCTCTTCCCTTGTTGCACAGCTCCAGTTGTTTGGGTGTGTGTAGTGGGGGTAATTTCCGTTTTTTTTTGAAACTTACGTATAATAGGTAGGCTATCATGGACTGAGTATTATTCATTCTTTAATTCTAAATTTTATTTATTATGCTCATTCCTGCGTGGTTGTTGGTGTTAGTTCATCATTTGAGCTTGAAGATTATATCACTAATAGCCTCATAAAGAAGCATTTCCCACTAAGTAAAGGCATTAAGTTAAGATGCAGACTGTGCCTGTACCTGATGTAGATAAGCTGAATTGTGCCCCTCGAATGTGACCAGCCAGAAGCAGAGAGGTTTGCTCCTCCTTGAACCTCTCCTGCTGACAATGCCCTGATTAGTGGGTTTGCTCTGGCTGTGGGTTGTGGGCTGTGGACTGTGAAGAGGAGGTAGGAGCCCTGAAGGCAGCTTTTCAGTGCCCTGTTAGGGCTTTGTGCCCAAGGAGGGGATCTATGTGTGAGTGGGACAGAGGGAGGCAACAAATAAGAACCACCAGAATCCCCTCTCCTATGGGTGCTGCAAGCCAGCCAGCCCACTACACGCATAGCCCTGTCCCCTCGCAAGAGCTGCGGCTGGACCGCCTTGCATTCAGGGCTCCCTGTTTTATGCTTTCAGTACTGCCATTCCTGGAATACACCTGCTGCTTCATGCTACTCCTCAGAATCCACCTCATTCATTCCAAGGTAGTAGGAAGGCCTTCAGCCAAGTTTCTTCCAGGTAGCGAGAGGGTTGCTTTCTCTGAGAAGGCATTATCTACTCAGAATTGGAAGGTCCTTAAAAAGTTGCTTGTCTTGTCCTCCCTCCTTTCCAGCATAAGAACACTACACACATGCATTCAGACTGCCAGTCAGCAGACAGTAGCTCCCTTCTGTCCTCAGCCTTGAGGCCCTGTCCTCCAGGAGCCAAGAGTCGAGTTGGGAAGGTATGCTGGAGCACAGTTCTCTCTGCTAGAAGGCACACTGTGGTCCTTGTCTTGAGGTATATAAGCATGGGATAAGGAAGGGAGACAGCCTTCCATGCCAGTGGGTTCGGGAAGGCTTCATGGGGATCTGGGCCTATGGGAAATGGCTAGAGATGTGAGGAGAAGTGCATGCCACAGGAAGTACATAGTGTGGTAGGATAGACTAGGGGGTGGGCAGTGAGAGAGAGCCCATGTTAACTGCAGACCAGTCCAGAGAACCCGGTTCTAAGAGCGATCTTGGGGTTTTGACCAGCATTTCTGGCAGACTGTAATCAGCTGTGCCTTGCTCCTTCACCTCACTGCCACTGGACAGCCTGATCTTTGCATTCCAAGTTTGCCTGTCATCTGGGTTCTGTTTTTGGTTGCCATTGACCTGTTTGTTACTCAGCACGCTTTGGGCACAGCTGTGCAGTTTAACCCTTTCCCACATATAGCGCTCCTCCTATTTCTGGAATTCTCAGCCTTAGGCCCAGTAACTCAGGCCCTTGAGTGGAGTCTCTGATGTACTTCCCAGGCTTTCACCAGCCCAGGCACCATCCCAATGGGTGCCTGGAATTGCAGGCAGTAATCCCACGGCAGGTCTAGGGCAAGGGCATTTCCCATCTAGGCAACGTACTCTCCTTACTGCAACCTGAAGGACTCGCTTTTTTTTTCTTTTTTTTTTTTATTGTTGTAGTTTAAGTGAAAATTTACATTTCAAGTTAGTCTCTCATACAAAAATTTTTACATACATTGTTACGTGACCCTAATTGCTCTCCCTATACTGTGACAGTAATTCCTCCTTTCCACCCCTGATTCCCCATGTCCATTCAACCAGCTCCTAACCCTCGCTGCCTTCTCATCTCACCTGTGGACAGAAGCTGCCCGATTAGTCTCATGTATCTACTTGAGCTAAGAAGCACACTCTTCGCGAGTATCATTTTATGTCCCATAGTCCAGTCCAATCTTTGTGTGAAGAGTTGACCTTGGGAATTGTTTTGGTGCTGGGTTGACAGAGAGTCTGGGGGCCATGCCTTCTGGGGCTCCTCCAGTCTCAGTCAGACCGTTAAGTCTGGTCTTTTTACTAGAATTTGAGTTCTACACCCCACCTTTCTGCTGCTTCATCAGGGACTCTCTGTTGTGGTCCCTGTCAGGGCGGTCATTGGTGGTGGCCGGGCACCACCTAGTTCTTCTGGTCTCAGGCTGATGAAGTCTCTGGTTTATGTGGCCCTTTCTGTCTCTTGAGCTAATACTTTCCTTGTGTGTTTGGTGTTCTTCATTCTCCTTTATTCCAGGTGGTTGGGACCAATTGATGCATCTTAGATGGCCGTTTGCAAGCTTTTAAGACTCCAGGCACCACTCACCAAAGTAGGATGAACATTTTCTTATTAAGCTTTGTTATGCCAATTGACCTAGATGTCCCCTGAAAGCATGGTCCCCAGACCCCTGCCCCTGCTACTCTAGAGGACTTGTTTT